TTTATTGACTTGCATGAGAATTAATTTAACATAAGTAAAAAATCTGTAAACTGTAGCAGAAAGAACAGTTTTTGGAGACAGRTTTATGTAAATCAATCTCTTCCCCACAGAGAGATTTATTTCACAAATATTGGATGGTTGTAAATAGCACTGAATGTTTTATCTACTCTATGACTCTGAATTGATTAAAAAAATATTTTGACACTATTTCTCACTATAGATTTATCTTAGTATCATTAAAAAAAAAAAAAAAAAACCCTTCAGGCCACATAAGATAATGCTATCATTCCCTAGTATACAAAGGTGAGGTCATTCCATAAAAGTGAATTGTAAAAACATAACAATCTGATAATAATCACTTGCTTACAACCCTATGAGTTCATAAGCTCCATTTCCCAGAGGGGCTCCATCTCCTTTTCTTTCCCAGCAGATCTGAACTGTTGCTTATTCCTTCAGTTTCTTCTTTCTCAAAATACTAAGGTTATGCAGTTGGCTTTTTGCAAAAGACACAGAGGAAACAGTATCCCCACAAAGCTATTACTGGGTTATATTAAAGAAATGCAGCAAAAATAAAATTAATAATTTGGCAGAGCAAATGAGCATCCATCCCAACTGTGTCCTCACTAAAATTCTCACAGCTTGAAAAGATGTTAAAAGCCGTGTCAGTATCCCACTTAGTATCTCACTCTTCAGAGTAGTATAAATAACAAAAATGGGATCATACTTGTTTCTGATTGGAGAAATTTAAGTCCCCAGACACTACAAGATGGTGTATGTTAACATCTAGTAAAGTGGAAACCACAGTTGCTATACAATGAAAAGAAAATCCTAGTACTAAATATTATTCTTTGACAGGGTACACACAGACCTTCCCACATCTTAGTTCTCTCACAAAAAAAAAAGTGAGTTTTTATTGTTTTCTAGTCTACTTCATCAGAAATTGTTCTCTAGTCTACTTCATCAGAGAAGCAATAGGTAGTTTTTATTTTGTGGAAGGCAGATAATATGGTTATTGCACTCTAAGAGAAATAAAATGTATGCTCTCTTTTAACACTATCATTTGAGAGTCCCAAAATTTATAGGCAACTCAACTAGGAAAGCACAAGCACAGTTATACAACTGATAAGTTTTAGATATCATGGCCAATCTGTGCATGTTATGCATTCTTCTCTCTGGCTAAATCTGTAAGTGACAGGCCACTTCAACTATCCTTAAAGAGCTAGGTTCTTTAATTCAAGTTGTAAAGACACATAGGCAAGGGCTACACTGCCCTAAGCTAGCAGCCAGTGAAGGAGCCTTATGGGACATCTGTGTTCCTTGCCCTTGCTTGCWATCCGCAATGCCAAGATACAGCTTCATTACCTTGTACAACCACCTAAACTCAAACTATGCAAAATGTTCACCTAATCTTGCAGAATGTATYATTGACCAAGACTCTGCAGTTAACTTGACTATTTAGCACAGACCAAATGATGGCCCTAGAAAAGCAGATGAGTAAATGGTTCTAAAGTCAGGYAACACAAGCAGATGCATGCTGCTGCTGCTTCAAAAAGTTAAATTTTCTCTTTGTTATCCTTAACTTGCCAGAATTAAAAGTACAATGATAATTATCTGTGTCTCTCATCTCTGGAGAAGCCGGATACTCACCAAAGTCTTAGCAATCACAGATTGCTTCTCAGCAATGATCACAGCATGCCAAAGCATACCTTCTCACAATCTGCCATATGTTTGGGCCTAGTTACCAAGAATGTTCTCCCTCAGCACTTGGAAGCTGAGATCCCCACAGTAGTGGGCACAGTATAAAAACTGGACACATACAAGAAAGGTTTCCTTTTTGAATATGAAGTTCCGATGTTCCTGAGAAGCAGCAGTCATATGGTGATACAGCAACACAGAAATTAAATGCTTTAGGTTAAAACTCTGTCTATATYTTTGAATCATTTGAATGGTACTCTCAAGATTTGCCCCAAACCTAAACAAAGCCTTCATACYTAATAGTAGCATAACTTCATTGTGTAGACCAACCATTTTCTTTTTCAATGGCTCAGCACTTCTCTAAGTCACGTCTCCACAGTACAAGATACACTTGGACTATATATTTCTGCAACAAAAGAGGCTAAACCTGAAAAAATATGTAGAAAATAGTATTTTCTTGTATGTAGAAAGATCATCTCTGTTTTCAGATAGCTGCTTATAAACGCTATTTTTTAATGTAATTGTGCTTAATCAAAATGTGATTTTCATTCTCTGGAAGTACAGTACAGTACCAGAGGAATAAACTCACTCACAGTGGAAAACATACTGCAAGCGCCACTTTCTCTACAGATTATATAATTAGTACACTAAATCCTGATTATGTAAATTGATAATGCCATAAGTTTCTGCTACACACCAGAGTCTTAAAAAGAGTGTTAATTCTTACAAAAATAGTTATTGTTTGAAGAAATCTCACAGAACGTTCAGCAGYTTAATTTTCCTTTAAAAAGAAAAGCCCGTTCTCAAAACTAAAAGAAAGAAAGAAATGCATGAAGCAATTGTGGAAGCACACCAACCCAACTAGGGCACTACGACCAAAGCAAGCCTTGTAATAGTATAATGACCTTTAATGAGTGTCTGGGGAAACAATACAGTCCTAGAATAAAAGACAAAGGGCAAAACCTATCATGGCTCCACTGACACTAATTCAAAATGATTTTCAGAACAACTAAAGAATGTAAGAGAGGTAATCTGATCCACCAATCTGACCTCACTTTGATTCTGGGGCCCTGCTGCTGCCATTTCTAATTGTCAAACACTCTACATTTCACATCTGCTCATATTTAATGAAAAGCTGACTCTCACCACCATTCTTTGAGTTAACTAGCTCTGTCAAGATGGACATCATTCGACCCCTGTGCACTGCAAGCAAAATACTGTGATTTCTATTGAAGCCCTGCCAGTGAAATTTTGCACATGTGTATATATATTTTTTTAATTGGAAAAGAAAGGCTTATGTTGGTCTGTAAAGAGCTTGAATTGGTATTGATTTTTTCTTACTTATTATYAACAGTCAAAGGTGGTTGTCTCACAAGGGAAAGAATGGATCTCTTTTGATTTGATGGAGTGATGAAGAGGGGAAAAGGCCCTTGAAAGACAGGATGCTAAAAATYCTCAAAGCTGTCAATATCGCTTATGTCTCAGAGTATAACATAGATTTTAACATGGTTCCCAACAGTATTGTGTTTGATGGTAATAATATCATGCACAGGAGGTTTTTGCCTCAGCAGGCAACACAATCAAAAATGTTTTCTTTTCCACCTCTGTATAGTCTTAAGTGAACTRGAAAGCCACAGTAAACCTACAAATTATGGGTTTTCTCTCCTTGCCAAACACTAGCGGCAGAAAATTCACCCATTTGTAGGGGACATATTCATCTAGCCMTGTCTGGTTGCTGTTAACATCAACACTGGGACCCAACCACATAATCTCTTTGTACTAGTCCGTATTAATGCAAACAATACCAGAGATGTTGTTACAGAGGCTATTCTGTTGTTTAACACAGTCTGCAGCAACTCTCATTCTAGGAAGACTTCTCAGTCACCATCTTAACAAATATAGCTACATCTTTCTCACATACAAGTTCCCCTAAGGATAAAAACTCCCGCATTTTATAACAAGACTTAATACTTGGAGATAACTCCTCTGAGGTGATATATGAGTTGCAACTAAGCAGAGAAAAAGGATAACGGTGCTTTTACACACATACAGAAAGAACCTTTCTGGCAAAATCTCTGAGAAATTCCATTAGAATCAGTTCAATTCACACAATATTAAGCTTACTATTCATAAAAATACCATTACACTATTTGTATACACTCTACATCTGTTTCCAGATTCACAGTTTAAACACAAAATAGAGCAAAGTTACTCAMTAGGTGGACTAGGTAACATAATACACATGACATCAAAGGCAACCAGTAGCATAATCTACTAACTACATTACACTCTTAGTATTGGATATTATTTTTATTTTTTCCTGATTCAGACTGTAAAGCAGACATGTTGCCTGATCTGGACTTCTAATATTTATTAGGGATGTATCTGATGTATTTGTCATTTTTCTTTCCCACTAGCATAGGGAAAGGAAAACAATTCCTGTCCTGAGACATAGTTTTGCCTGTTATGGATATATGAAGAAGATAAGTAAAGGAAAAATCATCATCATTTTTAACAGTCTTCAACTGTTGACCACAAACGGATAAAAGTAGCTTTAGAATCCCAGCCACTAGTCAAGTGAATTAATGGCTACTCAGAATTTCTCCCTTTTCCCCTCACAAACTCTGACCTTTCAGAAGAGCCTGACTCTTGTTATGCAGAGGTAGTTTGTGAACAAGTACGAAGGAGTCAGGATGTTTGCATGGGGTGACYCTACTAAAAGAACTACAAAAACTAAGATTTCTGGGGTGTCAGTGCTGGACAGAAGGTCCTGCCTTGCTGAAAATGAAGGGCTACAGAAAAAAAAMCCCCACAGATAACGGTAATATAAAACACAGTTTCAAGTCCTAAAGTTCTGCCACTAAATCATATCCATCTTATTTATTCACTCCCATTGTATACTGCTATAGTGCCAACACTACTAAAAGCTACCTGCTTAGCGCTGGTCATAGATTTTGACAGAGACCTATTCCTCCAACCATTAAAAATCATGCGCTGTAATGTTTAATTAATGACCATTTATATTGTATGAATTAAATAAAAAAGATGTCACCAAACTGCACTACTAAGGTCCTGCATGCTATTACAAGAGCATGCTTCCTAAAGAGCACATAAAGCAAAATAATGGATTACACTTTATATCAAAAATAAATAAAAACAGAAAAATAAGTATTAAAACTTGGCTTTGTTTTTTTCTAAAAGCATCAGCCCAGTAAAACTCACAGAACTACAATGTACGACACAAGACAGGGTGATACCACAGACACCACAGACATGGAACAGCATGTGTTGGTGTTAAAACTTACAGGCACGTAAACTGGTGGAGCAATCATTAACAGAGACAGAAGAAAGTGGGAAGGCTCTCTCAAGGGTGTCCATGTTACTATRTACACTGCCTGACATGCAAGAGCAGTCACGCTCAGAGCGTCCGCAATCAAAACAACATGCCAGTTTCATTCTCTTGTAGATGGACATCTTGGCTATAATCATGTGTTGGATGGGAGGAGAGGAAGAGCAGCAGGTTAATGGCAAGGTTATATATAACAAGGCAGCTGGAAGGTAATTTAAGGGATTTAATACAGGCCTTAGTTTATGTTAACAGTCTTGACCCAGGGAAAAAAAATGCAATGAGATTATTGATAACACTTTGGCTGTACATTAAAAGTAGGGCAAAAGATAAACTGTTCTTTATTTCTCTTCAGTCTTATAGGGTGATCACAGACATGGAGAAGAAGTACTGATTACAATCAAGTGTTTGGATTAAAAAAAAGAACATAGCAAAAGCAGAAAATCCTACGAACATACTGTTCCCATGGCACAATTAATACTGCTAGGCAAAACCAAAAGGAAATATTAAAGCTGAGAGTGCATTAAATATTTTTGGCATATCCTTCTTCTATATATAGATATATATATATACACATATTTATATATATATACACATATATATATGTATATATAGGGACACACACAGGAAAACACACATGCACATATATTCTCACATACAAACATATGCATACGTTTGTGTGTGTGTATGTGCGTGCATGTGTGTGTATAAAATCTTGAAACAAATGCTAGTACTTTTTAGTATTAAACTGTGCCAGGGAACTGTTTAATTGCATTAAATTACACATTACCGGAGAGTTACAAGATGTTCATAAAATTTCCTGAAAGATTTACTTAGTTTACATTGTATCTTCAGGAATTCAAATCAAGTCTTTGACAGAATACCAGAATTTGTCCATATAATAGAAACAACTAATAATGGCAAATATGCTTGACATTAAAATCAGTTCACAAATAAGGCATCACCAAAAGCACACAGAGCATTGGTCCACTGAAACATGCTGAACCAAYCACCGGCATATTTTTTTTATCCTCTGACTAGAGTTGAGTTTGAACCACGCAATTGGATTCAAAGGTAGATCAAGAGGCCAAGAGAAACATGAAAAATTAAGTGCTAATTCCAAAAGGAGTGCCAGAGTGGAATACAACATTTATATTCTTTAGTCAACGAAAGGATACTATCTTTGTTATGTATTTCTATAAATTTACAGYGTGCTATTTTATAAGTTTGCATGTAACTACCATTGCATAATTTTGTATGTTAATCACACGTTAAATCTGAGGCAATGCAGAGCCCACACAAAACTGTTTCACATGCTGCACTGAACCAACACTTTTGGTAATGGTTTAGATTGAACTGACTCAATTATACTAAAAACAAAACGGAACACTGACAGGCAAAAACAAAACCTTAAAAGCAAATGCAGAAGAAAGGTAATGTTTCTCTGGCCTGTACCTTCAGTTTAGCATGTCTTTTTGTATTATAATAATGATGTTAATTTAAAATGTTCCCTGAATTTTGCCATTTTTAATGCTACAGTCACCAGGGAAGAGGGACTGAAATCTCTGAAGTGGGTCAAGTCCTGTTCTAAGGCCTTGATGGCTTGCCATAGAGTATATCTGTCAAGCAAGGGCAACATTATGATTGTGGAAACAGGCATTGAGGGAGATGAATGAGTGATCTCTTCAGCAGCGACTCCATTCCTCTAAAACTTTGCTCACATGACTAGTGATATGTTCTTTTAGCATCTTAGTAGAGTTATCTTACAGCTGTTCAGAAAGTCATCATGCAGCATCAGGCTTGTTCATTGCATGGTACATCATTCCTCAGAGCTTGGCTTTTAATATGAAGGGTTCCACTGCAGCTTTTGATGCATACACATTCAGACTACACAGAAAATTCAAAACAGCATTTGATATCCCATGATTTCCCTCTCTCTACCACTTCCCAATGTATCCTTTAAAATTGAAAAGTTGGGGGCAGAAAAATAAAAGTGAAATGTTGAGCAGTATTCCCATTATGCCTATTTTTATTATTTTCACTTTAAGAAAAGGAAAGAAAAATAAAGAGCATTTGTGAGACACACTAGCAGTAGGTGAGGGAAAAGAAAGGCCCATTTTGTTTTAATTACAGCTGTTTTGAAGAACTTTTTCTAATGCAATGCTGTAGCAAAACACACTGCCCAGAAATTCTCAACTGCTTGGTTAGTAACAGTCCCTGGTTTTCATTTACTTGTAGCCATATCTTGTCAACAGTCAATAATAGAATATGACATATTTATTAAAATTAAAATAAAGTATCCTGAAGGGCAAGGAGGGGTTGGAAATGAAAACTTTTTGTATATTTTCATCAAACTTAAACCAATGAAGTGGGAAATTTAAGCCCTTCTGTTCAGCAGGGGGAACRAGTTCACAGCACTTTTCAAAAGTAATGCCCTTTCAGGGACTGTTTATAACTATTATTATTATCAGCGGTTCTAGAGATCATGCATCATTTTAATAATTCACACCATGAACATGCAGAAAACAGGCTTGAACCTGAAAATATAAGTAGCAAAAAGGACTGGCTATGAGGGTTTCAAACCAATATATAAGCAATTGCATATCGGAGCAATACATTTTATAAAGAAAACATGCTGTTATTCTTCATTCCTTTTATACAGTCATTATTACATTCATATCAAATACAATACTTAGTTTTTTAATAAAACAAAACATGGAATATAAGTAGGGATGATTAGCGACAAGATCAAAGACAAGACAGATATGATTTTAAATGGTTCAGCCACACACATACCATTTCCTATTAAATTCCATAAACATTAACAAAAAATGGGAATCATCAGAGAAAGATGGGGACCTTAAGAACAGCATCTGGGTGGGAGTTAAATTCATTTGACATATATACAACACCTGCATAAAATCAACTCATTTCTATTCAAAGAAATGTTTTGGATGTCAAACAGAGCTGCTGTTTGCAACTGGTGAAAATTAAAGTTGGGACATAAAAAACTTACTAGTTTCAACTGAAGAATAAATGGATAAAAAGGGAAAACAGCTCCTTACACTTAGTATGAAGACAAGCCAATAGGACTTGTAAAATAAATTAATAAAAGTATCAGTATTATTGCAACTAACTCTTTTTCCTGATTATGACAAACCTAAACAAAACTTCTGCCAATTATTTGTAAATACAAATATTTTCTAAAAAGCATTTTTGTTGCAATTTCTCTCAGAAGACAATGGCCTTCCATTTTTCTAAGGGAGAAATGTGCCTTAGGTGTCTGGGTTAGGTGTCTGGGTTTCGAGTAGTACCTGCTTTTCCAATCTGAAAAACTCAAAAAGCCCAGTTACCACTTTTAGAAGATTGCATGGATCTGAGGTGCTGCTTAAGGTTCACAAAGAGTAATGGGGTATATATCTATCTGCAAAAGAAAATGAAGGAAACTGGAAAYGATTCGCTTTCAAAGATGTCAAAGAACGGTTCCTTTTTTTTAAAGGAAGCAGAACAAAGTACCTTTACTCTTTGTTGATTACTTGTTTTTCTTTTTTTTTTTTTCTTTTAAATCATATAGTTTAGCCAATTCTAGTATTCCACCCTAAAGTTTTCCTTATGAACCTCAACATATATACATATATATTTATTTTAATTAAAAGAAAAATAGATCTAGGAGGACATCTAGTGGGTATCTATGAGACAACAGCTCATTAAGAAGCATACGAGCTGGAAGTTGTTTGAGCAGCAAATCGTGAAAAAGGTCCCRACTACATTTAAGAATTGAAATGGAGAGTGTGTCATTTCAATTCTGCAATTTCTCATGATCCACAGTAAGAGTAAAATAATAACAAAGGGGAATCTTACAGGAGAATTATGGTTCAAAACAACTAACAGCATTAAAGGAAGACCAAACTGATTTGATTGCCTTTTAGCGACGTTGGTTAGCTTCAAAAGACTAAAATACTGAAAGGACTACCCCCACAAAATTTCAGTTTTCTTAAAAATACAGCAGCATATCTTAAACTGTTTGTAATAATTTCCTCCTAACACAACAGGCAAAGCTATCTCTCCATTAGTTAATCGTTGAAGAGAATTTTAAGAGCCCTGACTCAGCTTGTTCATTGTCTTGCAATTTTGCAAAGTCTGTCTTTAAACGATGTCAATCAAAGATATTTGGCTAAGTCTTTGCTATAATTTATATGATGGTGTTCTTTGTCAAAACTGAAGAAATTGCAAGTGACCTGAGTGGACATTCAACCTATTTTAGTAACTTTAAGAATGACTCATAGGTTTTGAATTAATGACACATTTATAGACCAATTCATTTTATTTTTTAGTCTTATCTGACGTGTACAGTCACAATCTGTAGGAAAGATCGTGATCTTTCCTACATTACCTTAAAGATGACTCTCAGTCAGCATATTCTCAAAGACAACTTTACTTGTAAACAGACTGAAGCTATTGGAGAAATGGAAAAGCACAAGCCAAAGATACCTTTCTTTAAATATTTTTCGCATGAGGAGCTTACTTATTTAGTTATTATTAACAACTATTTCTCTGGCTTTGCCAGTCCAGAGAGGCCACAACACAAAGATGGGCTTAATTTAAATATTTTGTGTCTGTAAGCCACAGTGTTCATCCCAGGCTTTAAGTAAAAACATGAATAATTAAACAATAATGCATCCAATCTATAACTGCAAAAGCAAGGATAATCTTGAATATCTTCCATCATCAGCTTGGCAGGCAAAGAAATGTTAAGTTTTAGAAAAAGTTATCGGTAGTGCTCATGGAAAAGGCAGTATTCAGACTGAAATCTGCATGGGATAATGTTTTTAACTTGAAAATTTGACATGGAAGTAACTGCATGAGTCCACATTCTGTCACACAAGATTTACAGGACAATCCTTGTACTCTTGCTTTTTAAAATGTACGGAAAGGGTTATCATTATTTTTAACTCTTTTTGCTCATCTGCTTTATAATGAAGTCACAAAACAGACCAATTAACAACACTAGGTAATCTCCAGGACTGGGACAGGAACAAACTGCTGATGGCCAAAGAGAGGGAATTCTGGCTGGGCAACTGAAGAATTACGTGTGATGAACTTACTGCGACAGGAATGAAAAAATTCTTTTTA